TTTGCATTAACTGAAAGAAAATTGTGTGTGCGCCCTGATTTCCCACTATTTAACGTAGCTAGAGAATGATGACAGTCTATAGCCTGTCGTTGGATGATGCCTGGTGCCAAACAAAAAATGGATGTTGAGGATTGCCAAGCAGAGAGCTCCCATAGAACAGACAACTTGGTCAGCTCTTTGCTTTCAATGCCAAACGAGGCATTAACTTTATAATGCAATGCAAAATGTGCCTGCCCCAACAGACAAAGCTGTCATTGCCAAAATAATAAATGTGCTTTAAGGGTTTGAATTTGAAATAATTGTTCAAATGGTTCATTAAATGCTCAACTCTGCCACTTGTATTTGAACTGTTGATTAAAAACAACTAGTTGCAGATTGGATCGTTAACTCTGACTTTTTTTGCATCAAGTAATTTAAAGTAACTTAGTAACTTTTACTGAGGATACATCCCAAATAAAGTATTTTTTTTACTTTAACTTGAGTAGATGGTACTTTTACTTTAGTAGAATTTAGGCACAGTAAAGATGTTTTTACTAAATGTATTAAATTTAAGTACATTTTCAACCACTGGTTCTCCCATTTGGAAGTATATAAAGTAGTATATAAAGTACAAATAAGTATCGAAACACTTTGGTAAAGGTATCAGTACCAAAATGTTGGTATCAGGACAACACTAGATGTGACCCACTTACCCTCCAACAGGACTGTCTCCTCCACTGTTTGCTGTTGTTGTAACCTCCACCTGCTGGTCCAGGGAGGCTTAAGGAGACATAGTCCTGTCGAGGTAATGCCTGCATGTCTCTAAACCTACACTTGAGGAGGACAAACATATTAGTGCAGTGTTAACAAAAAAATGTATTGCCTAATATATAATACCATTATATGAAAGTGATGTTTATGTTTTTCTAAGTGTTTTGTGGGTGGGAGGATTGTTTTTAGCCTTTATACTACCTCAGTGTATGAAAAGTGCCATATAAATAAAATTCGATTTGATTTTTTAAGGTCTTAAAACAGACTTTGCCACATTGAGTGGCATTGATTTATGAGAACATAATACAACATTTCAGTATGTTCCCAGACTGGAAGCCTTTGAGACTGTTGAAGAGAGGACACTGAACAAACTTTTAGCCATCATAGACAACGATGACCTCTCCATCATACTGTAAACAGATAACAGAGTACCTTCTTTCATAGGCTACGCTGTCCTAGGGACAGATATGGCAAATCTTTCTTGCCACAGGCCACACATCACACTACAACAACAGCTAATTGCTACAGCTTCTATACTGTGCATCTGTATATTTATACTCAAAGCCTCTACTTACCTATTAATCTTACCAATACAGTGTTTACTGCTTATCTGAACATCTTATACACATTTTTGCATTTAGTATACCACAATGGGTTTGATTGTTCTTTTTCTTATTACCTCTTTATTTTTCCTATTGTCTCTGTATGTATGCTCTATATGCTGCTGCTACAATGCAATTTCCCAGCCTGGGATCAATAAAGTACATCTAATTCTGCCTCATTACAATCAAAATGTGCCATTTGTAAAAAAGTAAAAACAAAAAAAGTGCCAAAACTACAGATCGTACTGTACCTTAAGTATACTTACAAAAAAATCTCCTTGCTATAACAGAGAAAATGAAGAACAGTGCCAAAATGCCTGTAGTAGCACAATGTAAACATACTAACTGCTGCCAAAAGTCATATGCAAAGTTCAAAGAGCTGTTCTCACTTTGATTCCTTTTTGACACAATGGTTCATACTGTAGGAAACGGACAGTCATCTCTACAGCAAGTTATGGTTGAATAATAATAAGAATAAGAAGCTATTTTCACTTTACAATGTCAGCCATCCCTTTCCTAAAGTCACTTAGTGGGCTTAATGCTGTCAACTCAAACTATTACAGTACGACTGACAGGCACATCATTTATCCAGATGTTGGCAACATTCACCATCTTGATTTTGGGGAACACTTTGTAAAACGTAACACGTCGTTTCTTTTTGCTGGAGAAGCTATTGATAAGGGTTATTTTGTGACTGTACACTGGTTTGTAAATACAATTTGTTTACACAACTCTGATGTGACCATACCAGGAGCAGTATTTTCTATGTAGGACACCATGTTGGAATTTAATGTTTTACTTTGGCTTGAAGCTAACATTTTTGCCTAGGTTTTTTTATGGTTAATATGTTCTACAGTTTTTTAAAAATATATTTAATTAATAGCAGTGTCAAGTATACAAAAGCAGAAGTATTATCCAAACGATTTAACGCTGTATGACTTTAATATATAAACGGAATGTTTATATATTTTGTCTACACAAAATCCCACGTTTCGCCTTCATATTTGAGTAAATGTAAGTGTTGAGTAAGTAATGTTGAAGTCCTTGCTGTTATATGGACATTTTTCTGAAGAATTTAAAAATATTTTTAAATTCGAGGAAAAAAACGAGCTCCTTCGCTACAACACCTGTCACACACCATATCAACAGGCTGAATTGAATTCTTCAAGTAACCTCCAAAAAACTGCGTACAGTTTATAAATGCACTGAATCATATTGTATAAAATGTATAACTTTTACACATTACCTTTCAACGTGTCTACACGATGATGTAGCTGCACCAACGGCTCCCTTTCCGAAACGTCACCCGTGGAAGTGACGCTTGCACGGTATCAGAGTCTCACTGTGGGCCGGGGCATGATTTGAGGCCTAAAACGGATGTCGGTAATAAATAAAGTAAAACATTTTCAAACGACAACGTCATTATCAAAAGATTTTCGACAACAGATAGGGTAAGGGACATACAATTAAAATATTAACAATTTTTACCTTCAAAGTACCGAGCTGTGAATAATGGAGTAACCGCTGTTGTATAGCCGACGTTAGCTTATAAAAAAATAATAACAACGGACCGTTGATCTTCACTTGGAATTAAACTGAGAAATAAGCAGGTTGGTTCTGTGTGAGCCACTTGTAGCTGTTGATGTGATGCTACTATCATTGAACGCAAACGACCGAGACCCTGGTCCATGGTCCATGTTACCTTCACTGACTTCCTGGAAATATCAATTACTGTTCGTCTATTCATCTCATATTTTAAAACTAGTCAGTTCAAAGTACAGGTAGGTTACCAGTGTTAAATTTAGCGACTTCTAGTGGGTAAGTTAATTTTCTTATTTAATATCCTTCACTTCACCTTCACTCCTTTACAAAGAAAACATATGATAGCCTTAAACTATTATATAACATTTACAAACAGAAAGGTTTAAAATAGCTTCTAAAATAGCAAGCAGTGTGCAACACCCTTTCCTCCACTTAAAAGGTTAAAAGTGAGGATTGAAATATTACATTTTAAATTTTGATGACATAAAGCCTTAATGAAATTGATTTTCTTGGTCATATCTTAGATATGTTTTTGCACCTTTTCTAGTGCATTAAGAAAAATAGGATTTAGAAATATACTTAAGGTCTGTCTAAGGCATTGTTTCTCAAAGACTGGGTCACAAGAGTTTTTTTTTTGTTTTTTTGGGGGGGTCATCTCACATCATGTTTCCCAGGAGTTTGCAAATAAGGTTTGTGACCCCAGAAAAAAACGTTTTTATTACTTATGTACAAATATTTTGTTTAGACATGGCTTAAGGGTTGACAATTTAACTTCATCCTGATCTATTTTGACTTAGTGAATGTCTTGGTAAATACACTGTGTGCACAATTATTAGGCAAGTTGTATTTTTGAGGATTCATTTTGTTATTGTACAACAACAGTGCTCTTGGTCAATCCAAAATGTTAACAAACCTTCAAACCTGAACATTTAAGTAGTAAAAGTGAGGTTTTGGCTTTCTTAAGAGAATATCTATATGTACACCATTATTAGGCAAGTATTAGCATGCAGAATTATTATGCAACTAAATGAAAAACAAAGATTTTCCCATCTCACTTTTTTATTTTTTTTCACCTATTAAAGTGAGAATAATAAACAAACCCAAAATTTACAAATAAACATTTCTAAAATTAAAAAACAAACAAACAAACAAACAAAAAACCTCAGTGACCAATACAGCCACCCTTCTTTTCGATAACAGTCACAAGCCTTCCATTCATGGAGTCGGTCAGTTTCTTGATCTGGTCGGAGTCAACTTTTTGTGCAGCTGCAACCACAGCCTCCCAGACACTGTTCAGAGAGGTGTACTGTTTACCTTCACTGTACATTTCCTAATTAATTAAATTAAATTAATTAAATATTAAATTTAATTAATGATGCACACCCTGAGATAGGGTGTTCATCTCCTTAGACCACACCCTCCCTCGTTACACAAATACACATCACCTGATATGCAGTAAATCCAATAAGCATTCAAGTTTACACAGCATGGAGTTGGAAATTATGGATAAAATGAAGATATGGTCAAAATACTCACTTGCCTAATAATTGTGCACACAGTGTATGGCTAGATCAGGCATGGCCAACCTGCGACTCAGGAGCCACATGCAACTCTTTGCCCAGTTTCACGCAGTTCTTACGTTCAACTCAACCAAATCCGCACAGATGAAAAGATGTACACAGGAAGTGTTAAGTTTTTAAGTGGGAGAGTTTTATTCTAGTTTTTTAAAGGGATGGGGCAGTTCACACGTGTCCATGTATGTCATGTGGCTATTTGCAGTAACAAAGCAAACATTGTGGCTCTTGACCTGTTGGCCACCCCTGCTCTAGATGTTAAACACAAAATAGACCTGATATGTGATAAATATTTCTGTGATAAACTGTATGGAGGTCATTTGGCTGCGTGACAATACGTAGATTGGAAAAAACACTGACTCACTGTGAGTAAGCCTGGTGAATCATATTTGAATGTATACAACTGTAATTAATCTAAACTTACTCTTATTTACTGTTGGAATCTGCACTAATAAAATATGTGACAATGTGTTTTTATTCAAATAATTAATCAGGGTTAAAAAAATTTTACCAAAATATAAATATAAGTGTCATCCTAAAATCTGAGAAAAACAATCAGGAGAACAGAACCTGAGGAAAATTAGATGACCCGATAGACTACATGGTAAAATATTATATACAAAAAACTAAATATCAAATATGTGTGAGGAAATGTCAGGTAAAAACAACAAAAAATATCTACAACAAACATGTGATGTATTTACAGAACATTAAACAGTCTTGCTCAATATAGAAAAAGCTGCACAATGACAACAAAAACATCCAGAACATTTGCAAAGGCACATAAATAAGATTACTCTAACAAATGGGGAAAAATTAACAACTGATGAAAAAAAATCACTGGTTGTGCAAAAAAAAGAAAAGAAAAGACAAATCCTTTATACTTACCTGAATATTTTGGGAGCAAAAATCTCTGGATCTGGATTTCACTGAAGTCAGTGTCATATCCAGAAAGGATATCACAAAAAAAAAAAAAAGAATAATAATAAAAAAAATCCACATTCTGACCAAACATTATTTGATTCATTCTAGTTAAAAATTAAATTCTTCCATTAGCACATTTTCACATATATATTTTTCTTTAGTAATTTAATACCTTTATTGCAGATGCTTTCTTGTCATTTTTTAAATTAAAGTGCAGATATATACAGTATATATACATATACAGTATATATATATATATATACACACACATATACAGTATATATATGTGTGTGTGTGTACTTCTTGCAGGTGTTTGAAGGCTGCTATCATCAGAGAAAGGTTGTCTGCAGCTTATTGAACTGGTGTTTGTTTCATGTTCTAATGAGAGAGCTCAATATGCAAGCGCTAAGTGGCTATACTCTCATTAACAGTATGTATACACCACTGATGGAAAAGTATAGATGATGCATAATAAAGCAGACAGGATGAGTTAGTGACAATGAGTAGTGAAGTGTTTTCACTACTTCTGTCATATAAAGGCTGTTCCCTGAAGCAACTGGAAATGGTCGTAGTTGGTGGAATATTCCTTCATTAGTTGCACTTGAATGTCTTATCATTAAATGACACTAATTCTGTCTACAAGAACCTTAAAGCAATGTCAAACTTAAAAAAACAAAACAATGTATATCAATATAGGCACATAAATTCATAAAACAAAGTTATTATTAAGACATTTACTTTATGTCAGTGTCAAAAAGTCTTTGTTTTAAAAGGTAACAATCAGTTCACTGACTTTAAAATCATGAGGAGAGAGGATGCTCAAGAAACCATGTTGAACTCGGGGTGACCTCAGCTGAAACATGCAGGGCCTACAGTAAAGCCAAACTCCCAGGTTACCTCCTGGTTTCCAAACACTGCCAAGTCCCTGAGTGGCAGCAGACTGAGCTCTTCACTTTCAAACTGAAAAACAGATTCACGGCTTCCTGACTCCAGTGTGTCCGACATCTGAGTGGAAGAAAATAAAGTTTTATATTAAATTTTTTAAATACTTGTTTTTATCTGAAACCCTCTAGTTGGTTCCTATTTTTAAAAGAGTTATGGGGCCATTTAAGACAACTGACTTTACATCGCTAAACCTTCTGCCACGAAACAGTTTTTTGTTTGGAAAATGTAGTTCTAGCTATTAAACGTAAAGCATAATTAAAGTAACGTTGTTTCTTTAGCTTAAAGAACTTAAAACTGTTATGCTGCTCTGATTCCATTAAAAAAGCCCCTCTTATGCCTGAAAATCATCATCATTACATAGCGCAGTGTCATTTACCACACAGTCCTGCAGGTCTGCTAGATAACTCTGTGTCCTAGTATCAGCCAGGAACTTGACTTCCCTCTTCCTGTGACTCAGTCTTCTTCCCGGTTGACAGGAGTATGTGACAGTTTGAGTGGAGAGCCTGCTATTTAGTCGCAGAAATCTCATCTGAACCACATCTCCTCCTCCAGGATACTCAAACTGAGGGGTATTTAAGAGCGATAGGAATTAGTAAAATGAGAGAATTGAAAGTAAGGTAAGAAATTAAAAATATTTATTAAAAACATGTACCTGGAAGCCATCTTCAACTGTGCTCAACCAACGAAATGACATATTTGTGCCGGAGTCCTTCAGCCAAGCTTTTATAGGAACCTGCCATTGATTATAAATATACAGTATCAAAAATGTGAAGAAAGGTGAGAACGAGTCTTAATGGAAAACACTATTGACAATAAAAACAAACTTTAGCTCAAAACAACTCATTTATAAATATATGCAAAAAAAGCACAAAATAACAGTATTTGGTAGCAAAACATGTTAAGCAAATCTATTTATGCTGTTTGTGTTTAATAATGGGGAACCAAATTCAAATTTAAAATTATAAATCTTTTCTAAAGGAAAATAAATTATCCTAAATCTCTGGACTCTCAAAAAAGTATCTTTGAGAAAATAATGATTTTTTATTAATTTTTTAAAAATACAAGAGTATTTTTATTCTAAAACTCATCTGTGAAGCAATTTGTGTTCTCAGGGAACAGGGTGTTAATGGAAGATACTACTTAGAACGTTTTGTTTTAGGAATAAAGACCCATCCCCTCTAAACATAAGTACCGTATTTTTTGGACCATAAGGCACACCGCATTATAAGGCGCACCATCAATGTACGGGAATATCTTGATACATAAGGTGCATCGGGTTATAAGGCGCATTAAGCGAAACAATCAAGCGTGTCCGGATCCCTCTCGTCATTATCCGATTCAGTCTCGTTGCTGTTAATTTGTTGTTCAGTGATGATTCCGGCCTTCGTGAAAGCTCGAACGACATTTGAAACTTTGAACGCTCTGTTAGCACCAATATTTAGCGGTTGGAAATCTTTGGTTAATCCACCCGGAATGATGGCAAGCCCCGAATTAGTTTGCTTCACTTGGGTTTTGACAATATCGGTGAGATGGGCGCGCATGGATCAATAGGGACGGAGATTTGTGAAAAAGGGTAGTGACCTAAGTTGGACACTGGAGGTTGCTGTTGTTGTTCGCCCCTCCAGAATCAGGCGGTTGTCACTATTTTTGTTCTGGATGGTCACCGTATTGTTGTTTTGCAAAGAGTGTGTGTTTTTCCTGTATCGATAAAAAGAGTTTTTGACCACGAAAAAAAAGCCGACAGTCGTCCTGCATCGCACAATACATCGACAATAGATGGTTTTCCGATAATCGTTGTTGCCCATGATGCATCGCGCCGCTGGCCATGTTGTGCGGCAAAAGACGCAAATAGGTAGACGTAAACAATCGATAATGACAACAAAAGACAAGAATATTAAATGTAGCTATGTCTTTTGTGGACATCATTAGAATAACAGTTTACATGGAGAATTTACATTTGCATTGTGTGCTTTGTCATGTATGCAAAGTACATTTCGATATATTTTATTTTATTTACAGTGAACATATGAATTAAATAAAAGTATAATGTAATTACCCGAAATAAAGTGTTCAGAACAGACTTTGTAATGCCTTTTGCTTGGATCTGGGTTGAAATTATCACGGTTAATACATAAGAGCCATAGCATTGTTCTCTGTCGAAATATCCTCCGTCAGCTTCCCTCGGTGACAGATCGCTTTATGTCAAAAAACTTAATCTTGCGATCTCCAATCCCAGATCGGTTAGTAGAACCCTACACAACACAGGTATTTACCATTATCTGTGTTCTTTTATGTATTTAATATCTATCTATACGGTCTTTTGCAGCACAAGATGGCGAACTATGGAACTATGGGTAGTAGCGTGACGGAAAACTATCTATTCTCGGGGTGTTGGGAGGCACGAGGCAACGTTGCGCGTATTTGGGTTACACAACCATACTGTAACAGTCATTGTTGGCTCCCAGTAATCAGTAATCGCAACCAGAAGTAATACTAAGGCGCATCAGGTTATAAGGCTAACTGTTGATTTTTGAGAAAATTAAAGGTTTTTAAGTGCGCCTTATAGTGCGGAAAATACGGTACTTGTATATTATGTGAGATTTTAATGTGTTTAATTTGCGTATTGTGTAATATACTGCACAATATATATGTATAAGAACAGGAGGACAGAGTGTACAGCATGCAGTAAATAAACACAGTGTGCGTATTGTCATATAATTCATTATCAGCTGATGTTACAAGATGAGCTTAACACTTGACTTGACTTTCATGGACATTCTCAATGCAACATAGGGACACTTTAAGGAAGGCTGTGCTGACACACACCTGAGGTTGCAGTGGAGATAAACAGGTCTTTGGTTGTGATGAAAAGTCACAGTACACTTGAAAAGCATCAGCTGGACTGCCCTGATTAGGATCTATGAAATACAGACCTGCAACAAAGAGTCAAACATCACATCACATCACTGATTACTTAATATTAATCCGGTTTTAGACTTACCATTGGTAGAATTAGGAAAAGCGAGCCACAACTCCAGACAGGTTGTCGCTGGATGTTCATTGCTGCCATCTGGTGGATTTATGAACCAGCGAAGTTCACCCTGAAGGGAATTTAGCAGAGTCTGCACCAGCACTCGGCTTGGCTGGTCTGATAAGTACAAGAGCTCCTGCGATACAAAAAGAAAGACAACAACAATGAAAAAAAATTGTAACACATATTTTTAGTTCACTGCAGTTTTTTTTTAAGTGAACAAGTGTGAGTGATTCAAAGAAGCAACAGGTGAAGTTGAAAAATGATTAAAACAATGAAAAATGAATGAATCAAAAAACATGGTGGCTTGTCAATTTAAACAATACTTTACAAAATGCAAAAACTCCCTATAAATTTTAGTTTTAAATAGTTTAAAATATCTTTGGTAAATATCTTAATTTCATGAACAAATGTTCCTGGACCATACCAGAACTTTCAAACAATAGCTGTTGATTCAAGTTTGTCAGTAATAGGAGGGTCACATTCAGTGACCTTGCGTTTTTACCCAGAGAGTCTTTGTTTAAAATTGATTGTTGTTTTATCTTTGTTCTAATGAACTAAAACATTGACTTCCTGTATTACATTTGCAAGGGACCGGATGGTGATTTACAAAATCTGGGATTACATTTACAAAAGGGACTTGACTAAGTGCTGGAATTGCTGGTTTGAATACATTGTGTTCTGACTCCAAAAATCAATCCGATCTCCTGACCTTTAGCTGTGTCAATGTCAGGTTTACCGACAACCCCGGTGGTCCAGGTGAGCCAGGTAGACCCTGACAAAATACAATATGAACAGGTGATCAACAGATATTTTTAACATCACAGTACATGTGGAACAAAACAACTGGTGTAATACATTGTACTGAGGTGTTTGAGTACTCACATGTAAACCTTTCTCCCCTTTCTGGCCTGGTGGACCAGTAAACCCTTGTAGCCCCTTAGGTTCAAACACAACATTCAGGAAGAATATTATCAGTATAAAACAGTACCAGCATTACTATTAATAAAGTTTACATATATCGGAAGTCTACCCACCTTCTGTCCAAACAAACCCTGAAAACAAAACAGCAGTGTTGATGAGAGAGTTGTTACTGACTCTACAGCACATATTGGCTAAAATACATTGATGACTTACAGGCAACCCTGGTAGACCAGGAGACCCTGGATCACCTCGACGACCAATATCACCCTAGAACAGAGACAGAACCCCTGTCAGGCAGGAGGAAAGCAGGAAAATCACGGAGGTGTTTGGTGTAACAGTAGCAGCTGATGATCTACTGCAGCGACCACTGAAAAACAACTGAATGACTGAAACCTTCGATTGGTTGCCATGCTTTGGGTAATGTAATATTATTTAACCACATATCTGTATTGTTCTATCATATTTGTATTACTTGTGCAGTGCAGATCTGCTCAACATTGTCAGCATATTTTGAAAGTCACTTTCATCCAAGCTTGGTCAACAGTATGGCTTAGAGATAAAACCATTGTATCATTCACCAACCATGGAAAACATGATAAACTTACTGCTGAGTGAATTTGAAAAAAAAAGTTGTTGTGGTTGTGATTTCCTTTACCCCCCCTCTTCCTGACCCTCCAGGTAGACCTTGAATTCCCTGACACAACGACACCGTAAACAATTACAAATAATTCTTATTTTATGTACTAATATTAAAAGCAGATGAACTCACCTTTGACCCGTGAGGACCAGGTGGACCACCAAATCCTAGATCTCCAGTTTCTCCCTGCACAATGAGAAAAGTTACTCCTTTTCTAAATGTGCCAATTAATAAAGTAAATCTATTGGAACATTTATATCCATCAGTGTTTACACTTGTTTTATAGAGCAACATGAAATATACAAGTAAGTATTTGAATTAAGAATGAAATTGAAGTGAATGAAGACCTAACCTTTAACCCCAGTTGACCTGCTTCACCTTTTTCCCCACGAGTTCCAGTTTTACCCTTTTTAAGAGAGAATATTCAAATATTGAATTTGGATTTTTCATTCACAAAAGACACAAGGTGACAAAACACCATACATGTAACACCAAATAGTGAAGCTCAGTTTTAGAAAAGGTGAACTGAAAACAACTCACAAGTCTGCCCTTCCATCCTGCAGGACCCAGTGGACCCAGACCTCCCATCTTTCCCTGGTGGAATCAGAGAAAGACCAAGACCAGACTTATTTCTATATGCAGACCCCTCAAACCCAATTGCTCTTAGTATTAAAATGCACAGCTGACCTTTTCTCCTCGGGGTCCTCGCATGCCTCTAGATCCTGTTTTTCCCTTTTTTCCCTGTTAACAGAAGATACACCAGATTATATTTAACACTGTAGGTCAAAGGTCACACTGAAGTCAAATGTCCAATGTTCCATCATACCCTCCTCCCTATGCGCCCATCTTTTCCTGGACGTCCACTTTTGCCTTTATCTCCCTGTAATTTATTGTGATGGGTTTCAGTAGAAATACACTAACAGATGAATTTTTGAAAACTGGTGTTTTCATTTATTACGTTTTATCTATTAGTTGCTTGTCATTATGTGGGAAATACAGAGCATATGACAACAAGGATTGTACCAACCTTTGGACCTTTTTGACCTTTCCTTCCTTCCTGCCCGGCTCTACCTCTTAGTCCCTGAAGGTGATAGGTATAAAGAAGTTCGTCAGTCATGCTGTAAGTGTTTAAGGAATACAGTAGTGTACATGCTTTAGTGATGTGTGTGAATGTGTTGAGGCAGCACTAACCTGAGGTCCTGGAGAGCCAACAGGACCTTGGAGTCCCATCGCACCCTCTGTACCCTAGAGAAGAGAAAAGACAAAAGTGGTTTTAGTTATGGCTGTGCAATGATGGGGGTCTGAAGAACCTGTTTCTATACACAGCTGATGTCTCTTTAAGGAAACAGTAGGAAAAGCCTTGAATAAATCACAAAGACTGTGTGACAAATCTCACTTCTCATGTAACTGTGACACAGATTTGAACTTTCCTCGTAGCTTGAATGTTTTGTTTTATGTGTTTTAATCTTGATTCATTCATTTTACTACAACCCCTGCACTGTTGTTTTCAAATTAAATTTTACCTATTAGGAAATAACAATGCAGTTCACACCATCTTTTTAAAAGAACACAAAGCCTCAAACCTATACAATTTAGAACGTCTCTTTTTCTTTTATTTTACATCATCATTCTGACCTGTATTCCTGGTAAACCGGATGCCCCTTTATTTCCAGGAACACCTCTGTTGCTCTGCAAAAAGAAAATCCAAATCAGTATAATGCGTATAGTAATGCTAACAAGGTCTATAGTAGACAGTCATTTCTGATGTAGCCCTCATCACCTCTCCTGGCTCTCCTTGTTCTCCAGGCTCCCCTCTCAGCCCCTCAGGTCCAGGAAAGCCCTTTGAACCAGGTTTACCTCGATTTCCTCGGGC